GAGGGAGAGAGAGAGTCCTGCTGCATGTCTCATCACTAGTGACAACTGCCCGCGCAGGGGCAAGGCCCAGGGCAAACGGTGCTAGGAGAAAGGAAGGTACCCAGAGCCCCTGTGGCTCATCCATATCTCCAGGGGAGCAGCTTCTGGTGCAGCTGCAACTCAGGACAAATCCAAGAGGAACCACAGTAAAAGCAAAACTCCTTGAGAGTTAATGGGGCTTAGGATCATAGAATAGAAACAGAGCAATTTTTTTTGGAAGAGGCCTTTAAGGTCATCGAGTCCAACCGCTGCCCCAGCACTGCCAGGACCCCACTGCGCAATGTCCCTCAGCACCACATCTTCACAGCTTGGAAACCCCTCCAGGGATGGGGACTCCACCACTGCCCTGGGCAGCCTGGTACAGGGCTTCACAACCCTGGCAGGGAGGACATTTGTCCTCATGGCCAACTTACCCTCCAACAGCTTCAGGGGAGATTTGTTTCCTTTTGGCCTGTCCCTTGTTCCTTGGGAGCAGAGCCCGACCCCCACCTGGCTCCAACCTCCTGTCAGGGAGCAGTGGAGAGCCAGAAGGTCTCCCCTGAGCCTCCTTAGCTCCAGGCTCAGCACCCCCAGCTCCCTCAGGTGCTCCTCAGCATACTTGGGCTCTAGACCCTTCCCCAGCAGCTTTGTTTCCCTTCTCTGACCACGCTCCAGCCCCTCAAAGTCCTTCTTGGAGTGAGGGGCCCAAAACTGAAAAAGGTGCAGCCTCCTCAGTGCTGAGTCCAGCGGGATGATCCTTACTGTTGTCCTGCTGGCCATGCTGGTGTTGATACAGGGCTTACAGTATCAGGCTTTGTTTCCGAGGGGAATTGTTCTCAGAGGAGAAGACCAAAATGTCAGATCAGCTTACTTTTTCTCCACTGTCTCTGGTTCCTCAGCCCAGGAGTCCCTGCAGAGCCAGTCTGGGTGGGTGCCACTCCTGCTGGCCCTGCTACACGAGTATACAGCCAGCACCTCCTCCTGGCAGCCTTATTTCTCCCTCTGGCAGGACTTCAGGAGCCTGGATCATCCCATGTTCTGGTAAGCTGAAGCCAGGTGGGGCTGTGTGGTGGATGAATACCAGCACAGTCTAGGGTCTTCTGCCCAGGAGTGCTGGGGATGGATGTGGTCGTGCTGGCTGAGTCCATCCCAGTGTTCTAGCCCTGTGCTGTCACTGGCAGGAGTCTGAGGGACACCCGTACCTGGGGCTGGAGCTAGCTACAGGCATCACCAGCGCGCAGGAATGTGGAAAGCACCAGGAAGCTGAGATTTTGAAGGAGAAAGATGTTTCTAGACCCTTCTCCCTGAGGCAGATGGAGATAAACCTGCTGTTGGTCTTGCAACAGGCCTGAAGAAGAGCGAACGAGGCTCCTGCAGGGCACAGGCATCCCCGAAGCTGTGGACAAGGACCTGGCCAACATCCACCTGGAGTACAGCTCCATTGTCCTGCCTTTCATGAAGTCCCACCCCGACATCTTTGACCCCAAGCTGCACACACTGGAGTTGTACAAGCAGCTGGTGGCATTTGTCATGGCCTACAGGTGAGAAGTGAGGGCTCAGCTCCGACCAGGAGCAAGGACAGGCCGTAGGAGCACAGGGGGATGATTATAGGCTGCAGTTACACAAGAACACAAGTGTAAGGCGGGACTTGCCCTGTGCTGCAAGGTGTGTACAGCTGGCTTGGATTCACCTCCCTTGTCTCAGCTTTCAGGAGCCTTTGGCAGAGGAAGACGAAGACGAGAAGGGCCCCAATCCTCCGATGATGGTGCCTGTAGCAGATATCTTGAATCACGTGGCCAACCACAACGCCAACCTGGAGTACTCTCCCGTGAGTGCAAAGCCGCCGTGCCCAGCGTCCTCGGGGCCTGCTCCTCACCACCAGGCCTCTGGGAGCAGTGGCTCTGAACCCCGGGCAGCGAGGCCGGCCTGGATCTCACCCACGGGAAGCTGTCCCGCTCCTCAGCCCTGCCTTCGGCTAGGAAGAGCTTCGGGTCACCTGAGCCTTGGTGACAGATCTCCTTTGAGCTCCCCGCAGCTCTGAGGGCCTTTTCTCTCTCTGCTTGCAGCAATGTTTACGAATGGTTACGACGCAGCCCGTCAGCAAAGGACAGGAGATCTTCAACACCTACGGGCAGATGGCCAACTGGCAGCTCCTGCACATGTACGGCTTCGCCGAGCCCTACCCCGGCAACACCGACGACACGGCCGACATCCAGATGGTGACGGTGCGCCAGGCAGCGCTGCGGCGTGAGTGGCGCCCC